AGATGCCCTCAGCAGGCAGGGCACCACATCATTCCTGATCCCTCTGGATCTTTGCCTCACAGGATAATAACTCTCACACAGATGTAACATGGCACAGCTTTACAAAGTGCTTTTCTCACAATTCTATGGGAATAAGGAATAGAAACAGAAGCATCCCTATTTAATGGAGGGAGAAACAGAGACTCAAATTATTAGGTGGCTTGCCTAGGGTTACATAGCTAGTAAGCATCAGAGGCAGGTCTCAAACCCAGGTCTTCTGACTCCGTGTCCAGTATTTTCTCTACTACAATTTTATTCCCTCAGGGCTGCCAGAGGCAAGCAATGAAGAGGGGAGGAGGTGCTGGGGAACACAGACAGGAAGCTCATCCCACAGTCAACTCCAAATAAAACAGAAACATTCTTCTGTTTTCTGAGAGGAGCCCCAGTGCTACTGGATTACTCTGTTTATTGAAGGTTCCCCCTCTCCACCCTTTGTGGTCCAAGCCCAGGATTTACCTTGAGGGCCTGGCCTAGCTCCCACTCAGAAAACACCATCCTTAACTCCTAAAGAGGCCATAGGCAGTACAGAGATGGCTCATAACAGATGCAGGAAATCGGGGGTTGAGGAAGAGGGAAGAAGAGAGGGAGGGCAGAAGAGAAGAGAGAGGGGAACAGGCCTGATGTTACAGGCAAACCACTTCCCACTCTAGGCATCCTGGACTTGGCCACTATTTTTACTCAAAGCAGGGTCAAAACTCAAAAAGGAGGACTGAACTGAAGCCTTGGGATAATCTGGAAAGCCTCTGAACTGGAAGAATAAGGGAAAGATACACCTTGTCGTCCATCTAGCTCCCTACTTTACTTTTGGTTAAAGTGGGTATGGGAAAGGGAAGGACAGTCAGAAAGTAAGTCTATGCTTTTCATTCCAAAATTCCCTAGCCTCTCTTAATTCCAGTGCCTTCCCTCTGTTAATTATTTCCTTTTTATCCTGTATAAAGCTTTATACATATCTGTTCCCTTGTTGTCTCCCCCATCAGAATGGGAGCTCCTTGAGGGCAAGGACTCTCTTTTGTCTCTTTTTGTATCCCCAGCGCTTAGCACAATGCCTGGTACATAGTAGGAGCTTAATAAATATTTATTGACTGATAAAAAACAAAAATGGGTTTGGAGGATTATCTGTGTCACCGCACATGACACAGTGTTGTAGTACCAAATTTTGGCAGCTAGAACCTTTGGGTCTTGGGTGTATCTGAGAGTCAGAACCCTTACATTATCTTGGACAAGTCTCTTTCTCTGTTAGGGCTTCTTTCTCTGTAAAACAAAGGGATTGAACTAGATGATGATGCCCAAGGTCCCTTTCAATTCTGATGGTATATACTTTTTAATAAAAGTTGCTTGATGTGTTTATAACACTTTTGTGGTTCTACCAGGACCCTCCTACAATGTAGGTCACGTATCTGTTGTGTTGTGTCCTAGAGGGGTTTGAACAATTTTCATCAATCCATGATAAGTTTGGTGAGAGTAGAGATAGAGGGAAAGGTGAGGGGAGAGGGGAACTTCAGATTTTCAAGACTCCCCAAGATTAACCTCTTCTACCTTATCATACCTTAGCTCCCAAAAAGCAGACTTCAAACATCAGCTTGGTTTCTCTATTGTTCTTATGCTGCCGTGGCCTCTCAGAGCTGACAAAGAGCTGTGCTAAACCATCAGACACCTCAGCTCCATCTTCTGTGAACGAGACAGGCTTTTTATAGCCTCAGCTCACTGGGACTCATGGATACTGGTGTTCTCAACTCTGTCAGCTCAATTAAACCAGCACAACATTGCCTTTTTTTTTTTCTAGTGAGAAGAGGTCCCTGCTGCCTGGCTTCTCCTTGTTTTCTATTCCCACTCCCACCCTTACTAATGAGAGGGCTCAGGGATCTTCTAAAGACACCTTTTCCATGGGACCTACAGAACCCAGCCTTTCTAATTCAGGGATCAGCTTTACTGTAGGTTCTACATTAAAGCAGAGTAAGGTGAACTCTTCTGAACCTAGGTAGGCTGGTAGTAAAACATGCCAGAGTTAGCTCTTTTTAGGTGGAAGCCTTGTACACCAATGTTCTGTTGCACCGAAGGTACTGCCTGGTGGAAATAGTAATTTTCAACAATGAGGGTAAAGCCCAAGTGAAGGAAAGTTATCCACAGGTGGACCCACTTGGTCCTTAATTGTTTAACATCCAATATCTTCTGGCTTTTGGAAGAGGAGCTCCTTGGGAATCAGATAACAGGCAGTACTAGCTGTGAGCAATGCTCTGGAGAAAGTCGGAAATGGGGCACCTTGATGTTATTGGGAGCTCAGGAGAATCTAGCTGATCTATTGTCGCCCATATACTTTATGCTTCAGTCAAACTGGACTACTCTCTATTTTCCAATTGATTTCTGGGCTGTCTTACCTCCTGGCTCTTAATGGCTTCCCCAAATCAACTTGTATAATCCTATTCATCTTTCAAAGGCTAGTTCTACTCTAGGAAGGCTTTTCTACTCCCTTAGCTGCAGAGAGTCAGTCTGGCCCTCTCTTTTGGCCTCTTATGGAACTTTGTTTACATCTGACAAATAATTTGTAAATTGAAATGTGGACTATTAACATATTGTATTGTAATTAGTTTACAGGCATTGAATTTCCCCTACTAGATTAAATCCCTTGTGAGCAAGGACTAGGTCTACTATGATGAAAGGGAAAGAAGCCCGGATTTGGAGTCAGAGGACATACGTTCAAATAGCGGCTCTGCTATTTACTATTTGTCTAAGTGTGCACGAGTCATTTAACCTCTTCATCTGTAAAATGAGGGGGTTAGACCAGATCATCTGTAAGCTTCCTTGTAGCTCGAACTCTGTGATCTTTGTATTTCCCCACAATATCTTGCGAAGAATAGGTAGTCAAATATTTGCTGAATGAAATTATCAAGACTCCCAGGTTCTTCTGTGTGGTGGAAGTGTCTGGTCGGAGGTTTCAAGAATGGTGCAGGCAAGACAAAGCACAAACAGAATCCCAAACTCTAGAGAGTTTTGCAGAGTGACTCCACTTCCTCAACAAAAGACAGGAGTGTAGTGTGCGTGGAGGAGAAATAACAGAAGCAAAACTTTGCAGCTTTCAAAACAACACAAGCCAAGGGAAACAAATGAGTCAGGATGATGAATGGGGAAGGGGAGAAGGAAGGCGTAACGTCCCAACGTGTCTCTGCTAGACAATGAGGGTAAGGACAAAGAACAACGTCAAAAGTGAAAATGGTCCATAGCCCTACCAGGTCTCTACTTAAAATAAGAGAGAAGATTTTAAAAGTGTACAGCTACTGAGTTAACCCCATAAAAGGCACCCTTCCCATGCCTGCTGGGCTTGACATCTTCCAAGTGTCCCTTCTAATCACTCACACAGGCAACAGAAGTATAGGTATGGGCAAATAGGTGGGTACAAGGTAGCACAAGGAGCACAAGAGAAGGAGTCAGCAAACACTGTCCCATAGAAAAGAGGGCATTTAGGACAGCTCAGTCAAGGCAGGATATAAATGATAGGAAATTAAGATAAGGATAGCAAAAAGTATGTTAGCTTTGATTTCTGCACCTCCAAGGAGGTGTAAATCTGAAGTCACTAACAACGGCCTGGGATCCAATATTCTTATGGAATTTGTGGCCTCTCAGGAAGGCTCAAAAATGAGAAAGCTTAGGAGACTCAAGACTCCTGGAGAAGAGAGTGAAGATCTTGGCTCTTTCTCCCTATTCATCCAATTCCACTTTTCCCTGGACATCCAGGCCCAGATTATTTAAGCCTCATCAGAGGCTGCATCTAGGAGGAGCCACACACTGTCCTCCCTGTCTCAATCCCACAAGACCTCTTGTAAGGCAAATGTTTCCTATTCTCACATTTCATTGGGCATTGGGATGACTTCAGCAAGAATGAGTTGAAGTCTATCCTTGGGGGAGTTTGAGAAGAAAAATGCTGACAATGAAACACAACACACTGGCATCGAGAAAAACTTTCCAGTGATCAAAGTTGGGAGAGAATGGCTCCAATATACACTACATGGTAGGCTATTCTTCAATGTAGGGGCGGCTAGGTGGTACAGTGGATGGAGCATTGGTCCTGGAGTCAGGAAGACCTCAGTTCAAATTTGGCCACAGACACAGACAGCTGTGTGGCCCTCAGCCAGTCACTTAAGCATGTTTGCCTCAGCTTCCTCACTTGTAAAATGAGCTGGAAAAAGGAAATGCAAACCACTCCAGTATCTTTACCAAGAAAACCCCAAATAAGGTCATCAAGAGTTGGACACGACTAAAATAACCAAGCAACAACAATTCTCCAATTGTCTCTATCCATTAATTTACTAGAGCTCCTTCCTTGTTAACTGTTTTGTGTCTCTCCTCAATTCCCACTCAACCAGGGTTTTGAGCTCTTTGTCATGGGGTAATGTTCTTTTGTGGCTTATGGCCAGGCCAAATACACAATGATGCTTGAAGAGCATCTGTGAATTGATTTGGGGGGTGTGCAGAAATAGGAAGAGGGAAATGAATGAGCATTTATTAAGCACCTACTATGAGTCAAGCACTATGCTAAATAAGCACTTTCCAATTATCTCATTCAATCCTCACAACAACCCTGTGAGGTAATAATAATAATAATAATAATAATAATAATAATAATAATAATAATAATAATAATAATAATAACAACAACAACAACAACAATCATAGCTAACATTTAGTGTGTTCTGTGTGCCAGGCACTGAGCTAAGCACATCATCATCATCATCATCATCATCATCATCATCATCATAATAATAATAATAAAGTATTAGCTAACACTTAGTGCATCCTATGTGCCAGGCATTATGCTAAGTGTTTAATAATAATGACAATAACAGCACTAGCTAACCTTTACCTAGTGCCTACCCGGTGCCAGGCACTGTGCTGAGCACGTTACATCTGACCCTCAACACAAGCCCGGGAGGCAGTTGGGGAGACTGAGGTAGGGGGCAGGACCTCACCTTCGACCTTCGAGGTCTGCAGCTTCTCGCAGAGGCCCAGCACACCCCCATAGTGCTCGTCGATCTGGGCCACAGCATCACTGCTGCGCAGCTCCATGAGGTGCCGCAGCTCCATCACGGTGCAGCCAAAGTCCTTGGTCGTGGCCATGGTGCTCGTTGAGTTGGAGAGGTAGCCCTGAGTGCTCTTCTTCATGTTTCTGGAGGACACGGCCCTGGCTGGAGGGCGGCAGTGGCAGGGGCAGGACTCAGACCCGGGAGGCCCTGGCCCCCTTCCTAGCTGAGGGGCTGGGGCTGGGGGCGCCCCACAGGGAGGGGGGAAGGGAGAGGTGCCGGACAGGCCGGTGTAGTGGAGATTGGTGTTCCTAGGCCCTGGGCCTGGCTAACTTGACTTCTTGGGATCCAGGCACAAACAGGATGTATGTGTCACCATGGAGGCATCCTTGGCAATGGTGGAGCCCAGCCTGGGATGAGGAGGTGGCGGGGATGCAGGTCAAGATGAAGGTAAGGAGGAAGGCTCCCTGGAGACTGAAGGTACCTGGAAAGAGACACAGCAATCAGTGCTGGGGTTCTGGACAAAGCCAGGCCCCACATGGGGCCTTAATTCCTTCCCACTACCTTGTGTCCTGGGGGGAAAGCACAGATTAAGCCTCCACTGTTTATGTGCCAGCCACCTTACAAACATCATCTCATCTGGGCCTCACAACAAACCAGGGAGATTGATTTCCTCAATTTTACAATTGAGGAGACTGAGGCACAGATAGCTTATGGTAACTTGCCCAGAGTTCAAGGCCAGATTTCAATTTGGGTCTTCCTGACTCTAGCCCCTGGTGGCTCTTAGGCACTTGGGGAAAATAAAGATAGTGACCCAGCCCTTCCTTCCTTTCCTACCCTCCCCCATCACTAATATTCCCTGGGCATTCTAACAGCCCCCTCCTGTGATTTCTAAGAGGTGAGTAAGGGCATAACATGGTAGGAAGCTTCCTCTATGGCTTTCAGCATACAGGCACATAAGGGCTTAGAGAGGTATACACAGACAATCCAGCTGCCTTTCCTGAAAGCAAAAGGGAAAAAGGAAAAAAACAAAAGCAACTCTTATGGCTTTAAACATCTTGAAAATGAAAAACCACCACCACCAAGAAGTTACCTCCCCTAGGACACCACAGACCTTTTTTAAAGACTTGCAATGTTCAGGTTCTGTTGCTCTCCCTGCCTGTTGGGGTGACCTGTATAGTTTTACATGAGACAAATAGGATTCTAATGGGGGTCTGTCTTCCAGAGATTGGAGGGGCTTAGTAAAGGTGTCCAGGTTCATATCAGTCATTGAATCTCACTCATCTGCATGCCTTGATTTCCCTTTACCCCCCACAACAGGGATGAGAGAACCTAGCAGATTATGCCCAAATCCTTAGGGGGCACTGGCATGCCTGCGGCCCCCCCTTCCACAGCTATGTCATGGCTCTTCAGTCCCCCAGAGCTATTAACTTGTTAGGAGCTAAGCACTGGGTCCTAGTCACAGCTCTCTCCATGTGGTTGGTGGGTTGAAGTTTCTGGCAGTTGAAGATACAGGGTGGGTCTTTTTTGAGAGGTGAAAGAAGAATTGCTGAGAAAATAGACACAGTGAATTTAGACCCTCAAGAGTCAGAGGGAGGTACTCTGGGACCATATGGATAAAACGTTTGTCAATTTAGATATGCACATGCAAAGGGCCAAACATACATCATCAGGGGGGTGGAGGACGGGTTAGTCTCAGTTGCTTTGGAATGAACACACCCGAGAATTCTCAAGAAGTTAGTTCAATAATTCAACCATAGGAAACACTGTGGTATGTGTAGGGAAAGAGGGCACTGCAAGTCAGGAGACTTAAGCCAGCAGCTCCAGCTCTGTCAACTACCACGTCCCAAGGTAAGTCATTTAACCTCTGGGTCAGTTTATTGCTCTGCAAAAGGAGATTGATACATACCCTTCCTACCTTTTAAGGTTGTTGTAAAGAAAGTACTTTGTAAATTGGAGAGGCCTATATAAGCTATTATAACGGATAATATTTTTCCTCCCAGAGAGAGACAGAATAGCAGACTTCCCCAAAACACGTAAGTTCAAAGTTGGTTGTGGGGTAGAAGCCAAACCTCCTCAGCCTCCTTCCTGAAGGCAGGCAGCTGCATTTTTCTGTTGGAGATGTTGTCACACATCAGTCATTTAAAGGTGAAACCGCTTCCCTCTGGCAGAAGGGGAGCCCTGCCCCAATTAAGTGATTCCTGCTGATGAGAGTTCAGACACTGGGGAAGGAAGCTTTGCTTACCCCTTTCTCTAATAAGAAAATTACACCTTCAGAAGAAGAACAAAGAGCCATAGGAACTGGCAGCTAATTGAGATCAAGATGGCAGTGTCCTTAATTAGCCTTCCAAGAGTCATTAGGGATGAAGAATATTCACCCCCACCACTACTTTGTCAGCCCAGTTCCTGGTCACGTTCCTAGGGGCAGCAGGTAACCTCACCTGTCAACAACAGACACCCTTTGGCCTTCTTCTGTCTCCAAAGAGTAAGCCTCTTGTGGGAACTCTACCCACGTGAGGGTCCTGGGGTTGCAGGGGTTTTTTTTCCCTCCCCTCCCAGCCAAGTTGTTTCTTTTCTGGGATTCTCTGGGATATTTATACAATTGGAGTATAAGAAAGGAGTCTAGATCATCTCCTTCAGGAAAGATAACGAAGTCACATTTTGTACAGTAGCTTTAGGCTTTCTTTGCCACAATCCTATAGATGTAAGTGGTATAAGTTTTATCCCCATTTTACAGATATGGAAACTGAGGCTCTGAGGGATGCCCCATGGTTACAAAGGTAGGTGTCTAATCTAGGATCAGAGCCACTCAGCTGGCTGTTTCTACTACTCTGTACTGCCTCTCCTACTAAGGGCATTCGAACCTACCAAGGTGCTAGGATTATGTTAGCTTCAGATCTTTGATTTTGAAGGAACCTTCAGGGGACCTCGGTGCTTAATAAATGCTTGGGGGATTGGAATGCCTGAACAGAGACTGAGACTCTGCAGCACATGTTTCACACAGACTATTATTGTAAGACAGGCTGTGCCGTGGAATCAGGTTCAATTCAGCTTTTTTCCAAGGCTGGAGGCATAGGGTTGGGGCAGAAGTAAGCAGAACATCATGCTAGTACTCAGGTGGAGCTCTTGAACCTTTCAGAGAGGGCATTAATGTCAGTGCTTACCCTAGTGGACAGAGGACTGGACTCTGGATTTAGAAGACAAAGCGATTCCAGCCCTGGCTCTGGGGATAGCCATGTCTGTATCATCTTGGGTCCCCAGGTTACATTTTAGCAAAACTCGTTCTCTGGATCACATTTTCCTATCCATCAAAGGCGAAAGAGTCAACCTTGCCTTCTCCCAACCTCCTGGGGAAGGGGAAGGATAAAGATGGATGAGATCTTTAGATGGGCAAAAGGCTTTGAGCTCTTGGAAGAAAACTCAGAAGGTGTTAAATTAAACCAACTTATCTAATAGGGTGATAAAGGGAGAAAAAAAGTTCATTTTGTACTTAGGGCTGTTCAGTCTGTTATCTGGCCGATCATCAGATACATTCCTGTGGCCTTCCATCTTTCACTGCCAGGAAGATTCCCTGTCTTCCGGCCCCACACCTGCATGACACCCAAACACCCACCCTCACCCTAAGCTAAAGGCATGAGAAATTTCCAGACAATGTCCTTTATAACCGATAATCAATCACAAGGGAAATATGGTCCATAAAGAAAAAAAGTGAGTCAGTAAGAGAGAGGAAAATCCGTCTAAATTCCAGACTGTATTACTTGAGACTTTTCCCTCTCCAGCGGGTTCACATTCTAGATATGCTAGGGTTTAGTCCCCCTGGCACAAATTCCTTACTCTACCTTCTATTTTTTCATGCAGTAAGACTAGGGATTATACTCCTCCCTTTGTCCTAAACAAAAACAAACATACAAACACACAAGCATGAAAGCTTCAGTCTCTACCTGGGATTGTTTTTTATTGCATCTCCCTTGGAAATTCTAGAAAACAGCCCCCCTCCATACTGCCAGGAGGATGCCATCCCCAAGTTCTAATACCTTCTGGGTGACCCAAGAAGGATTAAGGGGGAGAGGAGAGTGGAATACGGAAGGAAAAAAGGGTAAGAAAGTTGTTTGTGTTCCAGCCTGACCAAGAGGCCACAGCAGACTTGTCCCCTGATATCTGGGTACCTAAGGGAACCCCATGCTCACAAGGATTTGCAGGCCAAGCGTACAGCTGCAGAAGCTTCTTTGTAGCCAGACTGGGCAGCAGGGTGCCACCACTCTCTCAACTCACCCAGAGAATGATGGTCTGAGAGTTCTACACAGCTGCCTAGCTGGCATGGCCTCTAACCTAATTAGGCAACTGCCAAAACAGCAATAATTGGGGCAGCTAGTGGTGCAGTAGACAGAGCTCTGGCCTTGGAGTCAGGAGGACCTGAGTTCAAATCTGACCTCAGACACTTGACACTAACTAGTTGTGCGACCCTGGGTGAGTCACTTAACCCTGATTGTGTCACCAAAAAGCAAAAAAAAAAAAAAGCAGTAATTTTCAAATGTACACTGACCTAGCCTCAAAGGAAGTCCCCAAACAAGCACTTGCTGGCCCCTGGGTAGTAGGGAGGAAGAAACCACCTCTCCCCAGACAAGGCTGCTATTAATCAGCATCAGCCACAGCATTCTGGGAGAAGTACCCTCTCTACCTCCATTTCGGCCACCACTCCCACTCACCTCTTCCCTTTAAGCAATAACAGCCTGGAAAACATGAAACCTTTGTATTTCCACAAATGCAAAGCGTTTTTCACATCTATGCTCACATACAACAACCCTATAAGAAAGTATGATGCTATTATACCTACTTTACAGAAGCAAAGTCTTCTTGTCTCCCCTCTTCCCCAGGCTAATGCTCCTCCTACGGTGTTGGTTTCCTCCTTCAGACTGACAAAACATCTAGGAATTCCCCCCCAAAATGCAGACACCTCCCGGGAATAGGGAACATCCTCTCTCTTTTAGCAAAGATGTTCAATTCAATAAATGTTGAGCAAATAAAATTTAAAAACAAGACAGTGAGCTAAGTGCTATGGATACAAAAACAAAACATGAAACAGTACCTGCCCTCAAGGATCTTAGAGCTTTCCTTAAGATAGTAAACCTTTTCTGCTATCACTGGGTAATAAGGGCAATACATCCCTGCTCCTGATGACACAGCTTAGGGTCATCTAAAATTAGAAAGGTCTTCAGAGGCCATTGAGTGAAAACTCTTCATTTTACATAGGAAAGTGTGTCTTCCCCAGGTTGAGCGATTTGTCCAGGGTCATTTGGGTTAGGAAGAGTCAGAAGGAAGATCAGAATGCAGCTCTTCCCAGCCCCGGGCCTATGCTCTCTCCAGGATAACACTACACTTCCTCAGATTTCCAGTGTTAGGCCTGATACCATATGCCAGAAATAAAGGGCAACCTGAGACCACCGTGTTTCCTAGGGCTTGGAGCTAGACAGGATCTTAGAGGTC